AGTCTCACAGCGACTCGATTGTCGCTTCGGTTACCATCCGCGATGTTGTAACGGTCAGTCGCAACCTCCAGTTGCGACTCTTCAAGTCCCTTCGCGTTCTTTGTCCGCCCCCTTGTGTAACCGCCGTTGACTCGCGTACCCGTTGCGATCTTCCTCGAGTGTAGTGTTACACTTCAGAAACGCTTAAGTCATTTGAGACATTTCCAACACTCCCCTTCGTTTCTGGAGTGCTGACGTGTTCAGATCCGGTGACGTTTGTCTGTCCGGTCAGCAGCATGCAGTAATCGAATTTCGCCTTCGCCAGTTTCTTCGTTAGGTAGTCTGCGGCCATTTCTGTTGTAGGGCAGAAACTGAGTTGAAGTCTCCCCTTCGCGATTTCATCTTTGACGAAAAAGTACCGCAGGGCAATGTGTTTGGTTCGGTTGGCGAAGCCGTCCTTGTTCGCGATTTTGATCGCAGATTGGTTGTCACAGAAGAGTGAGAAGACGGGAAGGGTCGCGATCTTCGCTTCCTCGAGCAACTCTCGTAGGTAGAGACCTTCCTTGGTCGCAGTACAGAGGGCGATATATTCTGCTTCAGCCGAAGATAGTGCGATTAGTTCCTGCTTGCTCGACCGCCAGGAGATAGTCCCGATAGGTTATAGTCGGTAGATGTAGCCCGTTCTCGATCGTCGGTTTTACCTGTCTCCCGCGTGGTCGGCGTCGACGTATCCGAGTAGTCGTACGGACGGTGTCGTTACTTTGCTGTAGGTGAGTCCGGTCGTCGGCGTGGAGACGAAGTAGAGTAGTGCCCGATTAAGTTCCTCGAGGTCTTCTTGTTCCGGCTGCTTCAGATGAGTCGCCAGTTGGCTCGCGCTATAAGAGAGATCGGGTCGGCAGGTTACTGCTGCGAATAGTAGGCAGCCGAGCTTCTGCTGATACTCCTGGATTTGCTTCGCGGGGAGTTTTGTGGAGGTGCTGTTGTTGTTCCCGTAGCGGTAGGGAGTCGGGACCGTAGTCGGCGTTAGACCGAATTTCTTCGCGACAGTGCCTGCGTACTTTCCAGCGTGTAGGTAGAGCGCCGAGTTGTCTTCGACGACATTCAGTCCCAGGTACTGGGTCACTGCGTCGGACACCGTGAGTGTCAGGTCCTCTTTCAGCTCCCCTTCGAACCAGGTGGCGATGTCGGTAGTGGAACTGATGTAGAGCAGGTCGTCGACGTATACGATGAGTAGGATATATTCTCTTTCTTGTTGCAGTCGGTACATGCCTTGGTCATGCGGCAGCTGTAGGAATCCGATTTTTACGAGGCGACTGTGCAGATGGTGCTGCCAGAGCCGCGGGGCTTGCTTAATCCTGTATAGGGATTTTATCAGTTGGCATACTTTCGTGGGGTCGTCGATGAATCCGTGGGGTTGCTCGACGAAGATCTCAGCGTCCACAGGTGCGTACAGGAAGGCATTTGCGACGTCGATTTGGCGCAGTGGTAGTTTCTTCGTGGCCGCGACGGCGAGTAGGATGTGCAATGAGGTGTGACGGGAGACTGGGGCGAATGTTTCTGTGTAGTCGGTTCCGTATCGTTGATCGAACCCTCGTTCGACCCATCGAGCTTTGAATCGTTCGGTGGAACCGTCCGCATTGGTCTTGATGCGGTACACCCATTTTCCCGAGAGGACGTTCTTCCCGTTGATGTTTGTTGCAGGTACCAGCTTCCATGTATTTCGGTCTTGCAGAGCCTTTAACTCCTTTTCCATCGCCTCCTTCCATTTCGCCTTATGTTCCCCCCCCGGAGCCTGCGACAGAGTCGAGGGCTCGCGCGGAGATGGCGGTGGCGGGTGCTGGACGGAGACCCATAATCCAAGTATCTGTAGGCCCGTGGGTGTGTGTCGAGGGGAATTTTCATTCCCGGAATAGGCTGCTTCGTCACCGTCTTCTGGATCAGGTAAGAAGTTTGGGCCGATGCGTTCTGAGACATTCGTGTCGACGGGGTGGGGTGTAACGTAACCTTGGTCGGCGAAGTGGTAAAAGGTGTCGAGGTTGTTGCTATCGAGGGGATTGTCTTCATCGAGTGGAACAGGTACGGAGCAGAAAGGGAGTGGTCTTGCAGCTTCCGAGGCTCCAGGTACGTTTTCTTCTGCGGCGTCAGCCTCGGCGGCACGGTCAGCGAAGGAACGAAGGCCTGCGAAGCCGTCGGCGGGGTCATGTGTGTTGGCAATGTTGTCCAGGTAATGCTGCAGCGTCAGTCGCTCGTAGAAGATAACATCACGTGATGCCACGGTAGTTTTGTCTTGTATGTCGAGGATTTTCCATGCGTGAAAATGTTTTGCGATGCCGAGACTCGAAGTAATTTTGTGCTGCCCCTTTTTCGTGTCCACAGCAGGTGCGGTGATGCGTTGTTGGGGAGCGATGACGAGGATAGCAAATTGTGCAGGTGGACTGCATGGGTCATCGCATCTGGCCACAGTGCGTTGGGCAGTCTCATCCCCAGGAGTAGCTTCCGCATCGTCGTCTGCAAGGTCCGGTTCATTCTTTCGGCGACCCCCTGTTGCTGGTGAGCGTAGGGTAGAGACACCAGGCGTCTGATTCCTCTTTCCGCCAGATAGGTCCTGAAGCGTTGTGACTGGTATTCCAGTGCACCGTCTGACTGGAAGCTCTTGAGTTTGGTTCCTGATTCTCGTTCGGCGATGGGGAGCCATGTCGTGAAGGCGTCGAAGGCTTGATCGCGCGTCTTGAGGTTGTAGTGCCAAACATATCTTGTTGCTGCATCGATAAAAGTGATGACGTAGTTGAAGTCGGCCTCCGTGTCGTCTCGAGGCATGTTTAAGATGTCGCTGTAAACCTTTTCCATCGGTGCATATGCAGGCGCACTTGGGTTGTGATGTGGAAGGATTGATGGGGAAGATCCGCTTCGGGGCACGTGAAGCACCGTGCGCGAGGTCTTCGAAGTTCTTGGCCGCTTGGTGTAAGAAGAGCGTTGCGTTCCAATACTTCGGCTTCGATTGTTTGTAGTACGGTGCTGTTTGCAGGATGCCCAAGGCGTTGGTGCCAGATGTCGTCAGAAGCTCGATGACCGGGCGAGCGTTGGTACATGTCGGTGTTGGAGAACACGACGACTGTGGCGGGACTTCGACAAACTTCTCGTGTGGTGGGCATAAGTTGATCTGCTTCGGTTGGCGGTCCTCGGATTGCTGGTGGTGGTACTCGGCTGGGTCCTGCTGCTCCTACTGCAGGTGATGGTTGGGAAGAGACACTTGCTGGTACTTGTCTTTCTTGTCTGATGACTGCTAATGCTCGTGTTCTTTCTGCTGCAGGTATGGTGTTTGAGTGCCAGAACCCATCACGGTCGAAGTCGGGGTCAAGATCCGGCGGGTGTGTCCAGGCGGCGAACGACACGATTCCGTCGCTGTCGGTAGTACCGGGGTCGGGGACGAAGTCCAACACGAAGACGCCGGACTTCAGGAGAGCACGACCGATGAAGAGGCCGCCCTTCCCGTGGTAAAGACGAAACTCGTTGGAGTAGGAGTCGCACTCCAGGTGAATCCCCTTTGCCATTAGTTGGCTGACGCTTAGTAAGTTGTACCCCAAGTTGTCGACGATGAGGACCTTGTTGAGTTGAAGTATAACGTTTGTCTCCATGGATTGTAACTGAACCACTCCCTGTCTGTTTGTTTACAGGTTTTCGTTGTTGGCGACGGTGATGATGACGTCGCGGGTGAGGCGTCGCTCTCGTTGCACGAAGCGTCCGCAAGAACACATGTGTTGACCGCAGCAGCTGTCCAAGAACCAGGTGTTTCGCCCGGTGGGTTCGGCGTTGGCGACCGCAGCGTATGTTGGGTTGACCTCAAGTCCTTGTGAGATCGGCGGCGGAAGTTCTTCTTCGTCTGGTGCGTAAGTGGGTGGTGATCCGGGTACGCAGTTGTCGATGTGTATCATGCAGTTAATGATGTTTGGTGTCCCTTGTGCAGATGTGGAAGAGCGCCTTGGAGGGCTTTCTTGAGTGGAGGCGACGTGTGGGTCTACTGGACGATAAACACAAGGACGTGCGCAGTTGACTTTGGAATGTCCGGAAGTCTGACAGTTGTGGCAGAACGGTGGCACGAAGGTGAGTCCTCTGTTGTCGCGTTGATCTTGTTTGCCGCGTCGATTGTAGTTGTTGTCGTTCCTTCGTTGAGTGTAGAAAACTAACTGCTGCTGCTTCCTTGGTTGTCTTTCTTCGAACAGGTCCATCTCCTGTTGTTCAGCGTAAAGCTCGGCGCAGAGGTGCATCTCCGATATCCTTCCGTGGGCGCGAAGAAGCGAGCGTGTGGTTCTCCATTCTGGCCCGAGCCCGGCGAGGACAAGCGTCACGAAGCTTTCTTCAGTGATTGTTCCTCCGCACCGAAGCAGACGGTCGCGGAGGGTCTGGCAGCGACTCATATACTGCATCGCCTTTTCCCCGGTCTTCATCTGTATTGTTGTCAGTTGTTGCATGAGTCTGCTTTGTGTCACGCTGTCGTTTGCTTGATAGAGACATTTGATGTGATGCCATGCGAGTTCCGCGGAGTTTCCGTAGCTCCGATACGTTCTGATGCTCTGCTGTTCTTGTGGTGACAGGTTCCGCAGGATAACTGTATACGCCAGCAGCGAATGATACGTAAAAAATTCTTGCTCCTTTCCAGTGCCGTTGCTTGGGAATGGCAGGGACCCGTTGAAGTATCCCAAGAGATGCGCAGCCTCCATCAGCAGCTCGAACTCAAAACTCCAGGTAAAGAAATCGTGTCCGTTGAATGGTGAGGATGTCTGCAGTTTAATCACGTATGAAAACTGCGCCTGGAGACTTAAAATCTCGTTTGGTGTCTGTTGTGATGCAGCTGCTGTTGGTTGGGCACGGGGCGGCATGAACTCGAACGTCCCCGGTGAAGAGTGATAAGGCGCAAAGGTAGGCGCTTGATTGTGTCGCCCGAACGATGAGTTGTCGAGGCTCATTGGTGCTAATCCCATGTTCCCTCCGTTGCTTTGTGTTGAATGCGCAGGTGTCCTTGTCTGCTGCTGCTCGAAGTGCGACATGAAGCTGAAGAACCTTTCCATAAGGTTCGGATCCACGCTTGAAGAGGGTGATGGGGTCACCCTTTCCGGTGTTCTTCCTGTTGTTTCTTGAGCAGCGCCGGTCTCGGTTTGCAGCCCTGAAGTATGCAATCCAGAGTTGCCGGGTTGAATGTCTTGGTTGCTGGGTGAGCCCGTAGAGATTTTCTTGCCCTTGCTGTCCATGGCTTGTAATTAATGAAGTCGTTGAATTGCAGATTGTAGATAGAGTGTCGTTGCTGGGAGTTTGGTCTCTGACCAGCTCTCATACCATGTTGGGCTGAGAAAAGCCCTTAGGATCTTTCCAGAGACTAAGTCCCGGTTGTAGAATGAGACTTGAGTAGTGCAGCGGGAGTTGAGGCAGTTGAACCCTTGTACTAGTATATGAGAACAAGTGATTGATTAAAGAAACAAACATACAGCAATATATAGAAAATAAGAAAGCAGTTGTAGAATACAGTTGCAGGAGCGGTTATCGAGTCGCACAGCGACTCGATTGTCGCTTCGGTTACCATCCGCGCTGTTGTAACGGTCAGTCGCAACCTCCCGTTGCGACCCTTCGAGTCCCTTCGCGTTCTTTGTCCGCCCCCTTGTGTAACCTCCGTTGACTCGCGTACCCGTTGCGATCTTCCTCGAGTGTAGTGTTACACTTCAGAAACGCTTAAGTCCTTTGAGACATTTCCAACACACACTGTAGCCAGGTAGTGTGCAATGCATTGTACATCTCATTGCGTACATATCAGAACAAAGTAATATCGTAATAAGTGTATTCCATTCCATGATTGAACTTTGCATGTGCTCTGGCATGACTACCAACGCAATGCAATGACTTCCTCAACAGAGCATATACCAGTTACCAGGTATACCAGTGGGATTGTATTGTACAGCTGAGCTGGCCCCTCTTCAGATGACTACAAAATATTGTTCCTTCAAACGTTTTGAAGTTGCTCATAAATCGATACTCAATAGAACATGTACTGGTCATCGGGATCTACACCATCCGCACCATACAGCTGAGTCCCCCCCTCCTCACCTGCCCCCCACACTGCTTCCCCTGCCCCATCCGCGTTATAGTGCTCCTCACTCCCTTCCACATGGAGGTACTGCTGCACCCCATTCACATCATGGTACTCTGCCTCATCCCCATCAACAGCATCAGGGTACCCTCCCTCTCCCCCCCCATTCTGTCCCTCCACACCAGCATCACCATCCAGCCTGGCATCTACTCCTCCCACCCCACCATCTCCTCCCACCTGACCATCACCACCCACCCCACCGTCAAGACCAGTGCCGCTACGCCCTACCGTGTGCCCCAGGCCGTCCCCTGGTTCTGTCCCTTCTCCCCCGTGCCCTGCTGAGTCAGCATCATACGCAGCTGACTCATCACCATACCCCCCCAGCGCACCATCATCGCCCCAGGGCTCTACTCCCTCCGAGCCTGCTTCTGTGCCCTCATAGCCCCCTGCTACTGTGCCAGGATACCCACCTGCCAGTGGACCATTCTCTGCCCCTGCTGCCACTGCGTCAGCAGCAGCTGCAACACCTGCAGCATCCGTCCCAGCAGCAGCAGCAGCAGCTGCCGCTTCATCGGCCCACCGCACGTGCTGCTGCTTCTTCGGCCTGTCCTTTCCTGCAGCATCCGTCCCAGCAGCAGCAGCAGCAGCAGCAGCAGCCGCAGCAGGAGCAGCAGCACCATCGGAGAAGAGCTGTCCGAGTGCCTCCATATTGACATGTGCTGAGCTCTGCATACCGTGATGCATGGGAGGGCAGGTGGGGCAGCAAGATGGGGGGGGAAGAGGGGGGGTTAATGGGTGGGATGAGAAGCCAGAAGCAGCAGCGCCACCACACCACCATCCGAGAACAGCTGTCCAAGTGCCTCCATGTTGACATGCACGGAGCTCTGCATAACGGAGGGACGGCAGGGGGAGAGGGGTGAGAGGGGTGTGGTTGCAGCAGAAGATGGGTGGGCTTTAAGAAGCACCATCAGAGAAGAGCTGCCCGAGTGCCTCCATGTTGACATGCGCAGAGCTCTGCATGACCGAGGAACGGCAGGGGGAGAGGGGTGAGAGCGGTTAGGTTGCAGTGGGAGATGGGTGGGCTTTAAGAAGCACCAGCTGAAAACAGCTGCCCACGTGCCTCCATGCTCACATGCGCGGAGCTCTGCATGACCGAGGGATGGCAGGGGGAGAAGGGGTGAGTGAGGTTACAGTGTAAGCTGGGTGGGCGGAAGAAAGCTCCTTAGGAGAAGAGCCGTCCAGAGGCTGGGTGTCCAAGCCTGTTAACATGCATGCGGTGCACCGTGAAGGGTTAAGAGAAGAGACGGGTCAGCGCATGCCGTCGGACATTCTTCCAGTGAGACGGCATGCCGTCGGACATTCTTCCAGTGAGACGGCATGCCGTCGGACATTCTTCCAGTGAGACGGCATGCCGTCGGACATTCTTCCAGTGAGACGGCATGCCGTCGGACATTCTTCCAGTGAGACGGCATGCCGTCGGACATTCTTCCAGTGAGACGACATGCCGTCGGACATTCTTCCAGTGAGACGGCATGCCGTCGGACATTCTTCCAGTGAGACGGCATGCCGTCGGACATTCTTCCAGTGAGACGGCATGCCGTCGGACATTCTTCCAGTGAGACGGCATGCCGTCGGACATTCTTCCAGTGAGACGGCATGCCGTCGGACATTCTTCCAGTGAGACGACATGCCGTCGGACATTCTTCCAGTGAGACGGCATGCCGTCGGACATTCTTCCAGTGAGACGGCATGCGCGCAGAGGTCGGGACTTTTGAGGCGCCTCAAAAGTCGTCTCATTGCTCGCGGTTTTAATGCAGGGAGAATTCATTTTGAGGCGCCTCAAAAGTCGTCTCATTACTCGCGGTTTTTATGCTGGGAGAGTTTATTTTGAGGCGCCTCAAAAGTCGTGAGACAGCATGCGCGCAGAGGTGGGGTTTATGGTGAGACGGGTGGAAGAGACAGGTCAGACAGTGATAGGGATACAGGGAGAGACAAGGATACAGGGATACTGCTACATGGTGAAGATGGGTGGGGGAGTCAAGGATATCGGTAAAATGGGTCAGAAAGGTGGTGGGAACAAGAAAGGGATGGGAGCATGAGAGACCAAGAAAATTAATGAGAATATGGGAGACAAGATACATCGGTGACTCTTGAGTCGACTCAAAAGTCACCTCATGACAAGGATATTGGTAAAATGGGTCAGAAAGATGGTGGCGACAAGAAAGGGATGGGGGCATGAAAATTGAAGAGAATTAATGAGAATATGGAAGACACGATGCATTGGTGGAAATTATTAGTTGAAATGGTGAGCACTAAAGAAAGCAAGAGAAAGGAGTCTGTGTTTGCAAAACCACAGAAAGGGGAAGACGAGACACAAGCAGCTTGGAAAAGCATGATGCGGCAGTGGGAAGGAAGCTTACCTTCTTATCTAGAACCCTCTTGGCAGCTTCCGCTGCTGACTGGGCAGGGCCCAATGCTGACTCATCCTTGCGCCTCCGCTTGCGATCCAGCCCACCCTGCTAATGGTTCAAGAATGCATCAAGCATATGATTCAAAACCGCGCTGCATATGAGTTTTCGGAGACGTCTCAACACCCACTATCTCCTCCTTGCGCCTGCGGCCTATGCTTGTAATTGAGCCCCCCCTGCCAATGGGAGTCAAGGCATCCACCATCCATGCCCCCATGCGTGGCATTAGCAGCTCGAAGTAAAACCACATTTTCCACATTAGAAAGCAGGGGCAGGGCGGGTGTGAAGGGTTTTTTTTAGGCTAACCACTATTGGTAGGCTGGAGAATGAGCCTCCGTGGAGCCATGTTGGCATATGTGACTTGTGGCGTACTATGTATGGGTCCTCCAAGGGAGGGCGCTGCATTTGAGTCGAATCAAAAGGGACAGACTTTATGGATTTCTCTAGGCTAGCCACTATTGGTAGGCTGGAAAATGAGCATCCATGGAGCCATGTTGGCATATGTGACTTGTGGCGTACTATGTATGAGGTGACTTTTGAGTCAAAAGTCACCTCGTTACTATGTATGTCACATATGCCCCACAAGGGTGCCACAAGTTCACGGGGACCGTGGCATGTCCCCCAAGGGAAGGCGCCGGAGAGACACCCGCTGAAGACACTTGAGACCACCACACAAGTCACCAACGTTGACCTTGGAAGTGTGGAAAGGTTGCGGCCCCGAAATCTGAAAACGACTGCAGTGGGAGTTAATCCCGCGACCTTTGTAAAACAATGGTGAGGTGAAACCCACTGGGACATTGTGGAATTTTTTGTAGTCAATGGATCATTCTTGTCTACAAATCGCTTTCTTCTTCTAGATATCACACAAACCATGCATGCTGCAATCTGCCTTTGCCCTGAATATCGTGCGCCTTCTTGCCTCCAGACGCCATGCTCCAGGAAAGCCATCTCAACACATACCTTGAGAAGCACTGCAGCAGCAGTGAGGGAAGCAGCAGCAGCAGCAGCAGCGAGCAGAAATCCTGGCTGCACAGTTACTAGCCGCCGCCGCTGCTGCTGCCACTGCGGCCACCTGATCCTCTGCTGCCTGCTGCAGTGTGCCCTTGGCCAGACCTTATGATATCCATCAAGAAAGGCGTGTTCTCAACATACCTTCTGAAGCACTGCAGCTGCTGCTGCCTGCCGCACTGTACCCCTGGCCAGACCTTATACCCCTGGCCAAACCTTATACCCCTGGCCAGACCTTATACCCTCCCACCTTCTAAAAAGCAATGCAGCACTGCTGGAGAAAACAACTTTTGCAGCACTGCTGAATAACACACCAAAACACACCTTTTGCAGCACTGCTGAATAACACACCAAAACACACCTTTTGCAGCACTGCAGCCGCGGCAGCAGCAGCGGCAGCAGCACGAGCAGACGTCCCAGCGCCGCACTTGCTGGCTGCTGCAGCTGCTGCCGCTGCCACTGCAGCCACCTGGTCCTCTGCTGCTTGCTGCGCCGCCCGCTTCTGCTCCTGCTCCTCCAGATAGTCCTTGTTCATCTCCGTCCAGATGAGGGTCTTCAATTTGACCTCCTCCTCCCCTAGCAGGTACCCATCCACCTGCAGTTGGGAGAGAGAAAGGGGGGTGGAGTGTGTGGGGTGGAGTGTGTGGGGTGGAGTGTGTGGGGTGGAGTGTGTGGGGTGGAGTGTGTGGGGTGGAGTGTGTGGGGTGGAGTGTGTGGGGTGGAGTGTGTGGGGTGGAGTGTGTGGGGTGGAGTGTGTGGGGTGGAGTGCGTGGGGTGGAGTGTGTGGGGTGGAGTGTGTGGGGTGGAGTGTGTGGGGTGGAGTGTGTGGGGTGGAGTGTGTGGCGTGGGTGTATGGTGGGCTAGAAAGCTCCACCAGCAACTCCTTGTTCATCTCTATCCATGCTAGGGGTTTCAGCCTCACTTCCTCCTCCCCTAGAAGGTACCCATCCCATCCACCTGCAGTGGGAAGTGACAGTATATGCCTGAAACTGGTTTGGAGGAGGAAAGGACGCAAGAGGAAGTGAGGGCAACGGAGGTGTAACAACACGAGGCAACATAAGGTGCCGGCCGGCAGACTGGAGTTCCAACAACAATACCTCATGATCCTCGATGTCTGACAGAGTATCCTCCTCTTCTTCCTCCTCCTCCTCCTCCTTCTCCTCCTCCTCATCCTCCACCCCTTCTTGCTCCTCCTCCCGAATCTCCCCAACGCCTCCCCCAAAGCCCCCTCCACCCCCCATCACACCCCCTTCCCCAGCCGAAAAAACCAGGTCCGGATCATCTACCAGGCTCGGATCCATGCCTGCCGAACCTAGGCCGTCAGGTATGGCCGAGCGTAACGCGTCTGGTTCAGCAGGGCCCAGGGAGTCTGGAAGGGTGTGGATGGCGAGGGGGGCGATTTCGGCTCGGTGGAGAGCTGCGTCTAGGTCCTGTTGGAGGGGTGGGATGCGGTGGAGAGGGGTGGTAATGGGGTGCAGTGGAATTTGGGAGATAGGATGAGCGGGGTGTGGATGGCGAGAGGGGGGATCTCAGCCTGCTGCAGAGCTGAGTCTAGGCCCTGTTGAAAGGGCTGAGATGCGGTGTGGAGTGATGGTGATGGGTTTGATTAAAGCTAGCTGCTAATACCAATAGCTGAAAGAAAATGGGGGAACCAAACACACGCTCGCACTTTCTAACTTCTCTCCCTCGCTCGTTCTCTCTGTGTGAGAGAGAGCTCCCCCTTTGCCAAGTCAAGCCCAAACCTACATGCACGGCACGGCACGGAGCCCCATGTGCCCACCTTGCTCTCACCTTCTGAATCCTTTTGAGGCGCCTCAAAAGCCCCATGTGCCCACCTTGCTCTCACCTTCTGAATCCTTTTGAGGCGCCTCAAAAGCCCCATGTGCCCACCTTGCTCTCACCTTCTGAATCCTTTTGAGGCGCCTCAAAAGCCCCATGTGCCCACCTTGCTCTCACCTTCTGAATCCTTTTGAGGCGCCTCAAAAGCCCCATGTGCCCACCTTGCTCTCACCTTCTGAATCCTCAGCCGCGCTCTCTCTCGCTTGGACATCCCCTCCGTCCGCCCCTTCCCTGCCTTTTCTCCCCCTTTCGTATGAACCAGCCCCGCATCTGCTGACATCGCTGCCCCTCCCACTCCGCCCTTCCCCCTCTGCCCCTTTGCTAGCATCCTACCCCACTCCTCCTCCTCCCCCTCCTCCTCCGCCTCCCTCTCGTCCTGTCCAAATACGCTGTACACAGTGAGCTTGCTCTTCCTCTTCCGCAGCTCAAGCTTGCGCTTCTCCCTCTCCCCCCGGCCCCACGCAGGGGGGTTGGCTCCCCCCACCAGCCCCCCACTTGTCCTTGCCAGCTGGGGTAAGGGGAACAGTGGGGGGGAAAAGGGGGGAGGGTGGTAAGAGGGGCGGGGGAAGAGGTGGGGGAGGGAGGGATAGAAAACAAAAGTGGGCGAAAGTGAGTGATCATATGTCTACTCGACCATACCGTGTCATACTGCACTACACCGCACTGTACCCTGCCATAACAACAAGGGGTGAGCAAGGGGTGAGCCGCTCCTGCATCCTCGTACTGGCACTACGTCACGTACATAATCATTACCACGCCACACTCCACTGTACCGCACCAAACTGCATCATACCACACATACCATCATACCATGTCATAGCACGGCCTGCACAGCCCATGGGCGAAATGAGCCGCCCCCGCGTCTTTATGCTGACACTGCGTCAGATACACCTCCCCCACCTCCCCCCCACCCCTTTCCGCCAACTCCCCCTCCCCTTCCGCCTGCTCCACCTCCCCTGCTCCCCCCTCCCCTCCTTCCCCCTCCCCATCACCCCCTTCCCCATACCCCCCTTCCCCCCCCCTTGCCCCTTCTCCTGCTGCTCCTCCTGCGGCTGCCTTGCCCTTTTTACTCTTGGCAGCAAGGGCGGAGGCTGCTACGGGTAGGGCAGGGGTGGGCGGCTGTGTGGAGAACAGGAGCTCTTCCCACTCCTTGGCCTTCTCTTCAAATTCCTCGGGCTGTATAAAGGGGTTGGGGGGAGGTTGCATGGAGGGCGGAGGAGGCAGCAATTGACATGGTGGCGGTGGATGGGTGTGTGGAGAACAGAAGCTCCTCCCACTCCTTGGCCTTCTCCTCGAATTCCTCAGGCCGTTTTTTCGGGGGGGGGGTGAGGGGGCAGGTGAGAAGAGTACAGAGCGGGGTTGAGGGTGTTGCAAGGCATGACCCCCAAGGCACCTGCACCATGAGGCTGGCAGTGGGCGGCTGTGCTGAGAAGACCACTCCCTGGCCTTCTCTTCGAATTCCTCAGGCTGTTGGTGGAGGTTGGGAGGAGGAAAGGGGAAGAGAACGAGGGGATGAGGAGAGAGCGGGTAGCAGAGAGGGGGTGGGCGGCTGTGTGGGGAGCAGCGCCAGCTCTTCTCAGACAACAGGAAGAAGAGAAAGACTCAGAGAAGCGACGATGGGGACTTGTGATTCAACTCGGAAGTTCCCTGTGAAATCAGGAAACGGAATGGGAGGAAGACACAGAGAGGGCGGGGTTCAGAGAGGGGGCGACGGGGACTTGTGAGTTGAGTCAGAAGAAGTCCCCTTTGAATGGAATGTTAACCATGATGGTAAAATGCGGAGTCAGAAGAGTCAGAAGAAGTCCCCTTTGAAATGCAATGGCGAGGGAATGGATGGATGGACGCACGACACAGAGAGGGCGGAACTCAGAAGAGCATCAAGCCCCAGAGAAGGAGCAGCACTATCTTCGGAGCATCAGGAGGGGCAATATGAAGAGGAACAAACTGCGTGTCAGTGGGGTCGAACAGGGGAACAGGGGAAAGGGGAACAGGGGAACAGGGGAACAGGGGAACAGGGGAAAGGGGAACAGGGGAACAGGGGAAAGGGGAAAGGGGAACAGGGGAACAGGGGAACAGGGGAAAGGGGAAAGGGGAACAGGGGAACCGGGGAACAGGGGAAAGGGGAACAGGGGAACAGGGGAAAGGGGAAAGGGGAACAGGGGAACACGGGACGGCAACACGGGAGCAGGAGGCACTTACAGTGAGCCTGCCTGCTTCTGTGTCTTCGATTTCGTGCAGCCGATGCCGCACGGTCTGCTCACACACATGCACCACTGCCACCTGCACGCCCGATACAAGCACACCCAGATCAGTCACAAACATGATATAGGCGTATTTTAAAGGAATTCTCAGACTACACCTACAACTACCACCTTCCCAGCATTGCCATACCAACGCCCTTCTAGCAGTACATTCTCTCTCTCACCCTTCCCTCGCACCCACCAGCGTAGCAGTATCGCCATGCTATCACTCACCCTTACTCTCACCCTTCCCCCCACCCACCCACCCACCCACCCACCCACCCACCCACCCACCACATCAGACTGGACATGGGCAAAATGCGATTGCGATTTAAATCGCATCGCATTGGGGGGCGATTTAATTAAATGCGATGCGATTTTAAATTGCACTGGGCGATTTAATTTCTGGAAAAAAAATAAATCACACATCACGTTTTGCGCGCGATGAATATTGAAACGGCATGCAGTATTTAATTAAATCGCGCGATGCGATTTTATATCGCATCGCGTTTTAAAACAGAATGAAAAAACACCCCCAAAAACCAGAAAATCGCATCAGAGTGGGTTTCAGTGCGACATCGCGCGCGATTAAAATAATAATCGCATATCGCATTTAAATCGCGTTTTTTAGCGCGATTAAAATGCGATTAAAATTAAATCGCACGATAAACAATTCATCGCGCATCGCGCGATGATAAAAAAAAAAAAAATCGCAACCGCAAAAACACGATTAAATGCAATGTGATGCGATTTTTTTGGCCCATGTTTACATCAGACTGGGATTGTTCAAATCCGGGTGAACATGTGCCGCTAACAATAGCACTGCCCCATACATTCTCCACTCAACCTGCCTAGCTGTACTGTCATCACCCCACCCCACCCACCCAGGCACCATCAGACTTACCAAAACTGCTATTACCCCACCCCACCCCACCCCACCCCACCCAGAACTGCCGCCACCCCACCCCAGCCCACCCCACTCACTCACCCAGGCATTACCAGAACTGCCATCACCATCTCAATCACCCTTCCCCCCACCCAACCTTCCCCCCACCCACCCACCCACCCACCCACCCACTCACCCACCCACGCACCCACCCACGCACGAACCACATCAGACTGGGATCGCTCCAAGCCGTGTGAACACTGAACATGTGCCGCTCAATAGAGCGGCCCCCCACACCCTCCTACCAGCCAGATTAGCAGCTCTGCCATGATCATGGTATGCTATGACCTTATTCTCTCACCCTTCCACCACCCCCACCCCACCCATGGAACCGATCAATCCGCCACCCACCACATCAGACTTGGACCGCTCGAAGCCGTGAATGTGAGCCGCTATCAGCAGCGCCGCCCCGCATATCCCATTGGGCTTGCGACCCGTCTGAGGGGAGACGAGGAGAGCGTGCAAGAGGCGGGATGGGGAGAGTGGGGGAAAGGAGAGAAAGAGAGAGAGGAAGACGGGGAGAGAGGCAAAAAGGAGAGAAGGAGAGAGAGGGGATTGGATTGTGCATTGCAACAAGCAGCAAAGCCCCACATGCCCCATTGGGCTTGTGATCACTGATCCGTCTGATAAGGAAAAGCCAAAAGCCGAGATGCGGAGAGGAGAGTCACGAGATGAGGAGAGTCGGGGGAAGGGAACACAAGAAAGATGGATGGGGAAGCGGAAGAGGTGACACAACTGCAGTTTTGACTCCTGCCTCGTCTCACCTGGATCCGCCCCTCGTGTCTCTCACCTGGATCCGCCCCTCCATCTCACCTGGACCCACCCCTCGTGTCTCTCACCTGGATCCAGTCTCGCTTCATGGACGCAACGAGACGCAGAGCAGTGTTGGCCACTCCATGCATCTTGCGACCGAAGTTGAGGCCTGGTACTCAGATGTCGCAGGTCGTATTCAGGCACCGTGCAATGCCATGTGATGCCATGCCGTGTGATACCATGCCATGTGATGCCATGTCATGTGATGCCATGCCATGTGATGCCATGTCATGTGATGCCATGTCATGTGATGCCATGCCATGTGATGCCATGCCATGTGATGCCATGCCATGTGATGCCATGCCATGTGATGCCATGTCATGTGATGCCATGCCATGTGATGCCATGCCATGTGATGTCATGCCATGTGATGCCATGCCATGTGATACCATGCCATGTGATGCCATGCCATGTGATGCCATGCCATATGATGCCATGCCATGTGATGCCATGCCATGTGATGCCATGCCATGTGATGCCATGTCATGTGATGCCATGCCATGTGATGCCATGACATGTGATGCCATGCCATGTGATGTGATGCCATGTCATGTGATGCCATGCCATGTGATGCCATGCCATGTCAGAAGGACATCCAAAATTGTGCGAACAGTCCAAACACGGAGAGGGAGAATCACGAGGGGAAGAAGCGGGAAGGTTGGCGGTGCTGCTGCAAAGAATACATAGCGCTAGCCCTTGAATTGCCACCACCGCTGCACTGCGCATACGTGAACTACTTTGTACTGCTGCCCTTCCAACCATGAGTGACGACCAGACGACCAGTGCTGCTGCGAAGAATACCTAGCCCTTGGATTTCCACCTCCGCTGCGCTGCGCGCAAGGGAGCACTACTAGCGCGTCCGCAAAATGCAAGTCTAAAAACGGATTCCAGCCTAGGGTCACTACTAGCGTTTTTATCTCAAACAAAGCACTTACCGTCGGCAAATCGGTGGATAAACAGGGAGGGGTCCAGCGGAGCTTGTAGCGGCTCGTGGTTCTCTAGTCGCAGCACCAGCAGCAGCTGCAGGTACACCGCCCCCAGGACATAGCTGGGAGAGATATAGTGGGAGAGAGAAAAGAGAGGAGGGGGGAAGAGGTCGTAAGCAGAGAAGAGTATGAATGAGGAGGTTCTTGAATCAAGAGGTGCGGTGGAGTGGAGGAGGGTGAAGAAGAGGAGGGCAAACGAGAAAAGGCGCATGTGCTTTATGGAAACGAGGAGAGGGGAGGAGGGTTTTTTTTTTTTAAGGCGCCTCAAAAGACGAAGTTTGAGATGATTCTTGAGGCGCCTCAAACATCGTGAAGAGGAGAGGAGTGTGAATGTGAACGAGGCAAGGTGTGTGTGCCTTGTGGAGTCGAGGAGAGGGGGAGAGAGAGGTATCTCACACGTTGATCTGCAGCAAGTCAGCAAAGTCTATGAGCAGGAACGGCTTCTTCTCCTGCCTGGCAGGGAGAGCACACAAGGCGATGAGACGGAAAACGGCATAAGGCGCGAGAGAGAACACAGCACAAGGCATGAGACAAGGGGAGAGGGTAGATAAAAAGCAAAGAACAAATATTGAACCAAGGGACAACGACACGACACGACACAACACGACACGACACGACACGACACGACACGACATGACGCGACACGACACGACACAACACAACACAACAAGTGGCATGGACTGGGGAGACAGAATGGGAACATCTAATGGGCTGGGCTGCTGGCCACGGGTTGTAACAGATGGCGAGGGGTTTGCCTTGTAACATGGGTTTTTGGGTATGGAAGAGAAGAGAGACGGAGGGGGAAGACGTGGTGTGAACAAAAACGAAGCAATGCAACTTGCAAGTTGCAACCACATCGCGAGGATCACACATCCGCTACAGACAGACAGCCATACCTGCAGGCGAGGTAGAGGCAGGCAGCAGCGACTTGTGCCACTCGTCGACCTCGAGTGAAGTTGCGATTCAAAGCCAACTGCGCTTGTGAGCCAAGAGGGAGGGCAGGAGGGAGGATGGGGAGAGGGAGAAGAGGGGGGGGGGGGGGTGGAAGGGGAGGGGGGGGGTGTGTGTGCGTGCGTATGAATTGGTGTATGCATGTATGCTTCGAGAGCGCTTGCAGACATGTAGGCAGGTACGTATGCGTGTCAGCATGCTGCGTGAATGCTTGAGCCAGCCAAATAGGACGGGGGACATTGAGAGCTAGGGACAGCGTGTGGGCCTGGTTGGTAGATAGTCTGTGTGCCGTCCCCAAACAGCTTCAGGTCTTACAGTTTAAAGAGCTTCGGGTTTCGAGGAGTATTGGGTTGAAGAGGGCTTCGAGTTTAAAGCCCCCCTCTCATATTTCCAGGGTTGAGCAAAGGTAATACTCTTGCGTAGTAGGGTAACAAGGGTGGGTATCGCAAGTTTGGTTGGTTGGTGTGGACGTGCCCCTGATTGGCCACAAAGCAAAAAGGCTGGGGAAAATCCCCACGCGACAACCAAGCCACACCACGGTGATCGCAAACCTACCGTGCTGGGTTTTGACACGTTCTGTTTTGGGTTTCCGTGTTTTGGGTGTGTCGCCGGGCACGTGCCAAGTCGGCTGGCGACGCATTTTCGGTTTGAGGGGTTGGTATGGGGGTTCCCCCAGCCTGCAAGTTTGGTTGGGTTTCGGGCCTGGTTCTCTGTTGTGTTCGTCAAACCCCAGCTCTCGCGACTCTGAATTTCGTACCTCGCTACCCAATCCCCGCCGTGTATGTCCGGCCAAAGGTAATACCTTTGGAAATATGAGAGGGGGGCTTTAACAGAGTTCAGGGTTTAAGAAGGTTTAAGGGGGTTTCGAGTTTAAGAGGGAGGGTTTAGGGTTTAACAGGGTTTCGGGTTTAGCAGGGCTTCGGGTTCAGCACCTGGTAAAGTCTGTGTGCTGCCCCTATCATGTCCTCTCGTGGCCGCACAGCCAAGCGCTCAGCAATCTCCGCAATCTCGTTGCGACCTGGGAGGGTGTGGGGGGAGGGTTTGCGGGGAGTCAAGTCAAGCAGGGGGGAGGGGGGAGGGCCACGAAGGCAGGGTCAGGGGGGTTGGCTCCTGGAATTACAGCCTGTATGCTGCCACTAACATGACCTGCCCTGCCATGGCCGCACAGCCAGGTGCTCCGCTGTCTCTGAAACAATCACATTCCAACCTAGTTGGGTTGGGGGGGGAAAGGGAGAGGGGGGGGGGGGGTGGGGAGGAGAGCGGATTGGCAGCAGCAGCAGCAATGCAGCGCAGGCAGGGGCGGCAGAAGCAGGGGAAAGAAGGAATGGGTAGCCGGGGGCAGGGCGAGTGCATAAAAGGGCAGAGGAGAGGGAGAGCGTAGAGGTGGGGACGGAGGGTGGGGAGGGGGGAGGAGTGGGCCGGGGGGGGGGGGGGGGTTGGGGGGGGGGGGAGTTTCGGGGGAGGAAGGGGTGTGGAACTTAGAAGGGGGAGCAGGACTGGGCAACAGGCATGTGTCTGAATTGAATCGCACCAATCTCTCGCCTCCCTCCCACGTCTCGTGTGACTATGACGAGCCCCCAAAGGCAACCCCCCTCTGTGGTCAAACCCACCTCTCATCAACGCAGAATTCGCTAAAATCGCACCCACGTCTAATGAGCGTGCGCTCGCGCGACTCTGACGAGCCTCCAAACGCAAACCACATCCGTTTGTGTCACCATTGCAGCATTCGCTTGAGCCACACCACACCCACCTCTCATGAGCGTGCGCTCGTGTGACTCTGACGAGCCTCCGAAGGCAAACCCCCTCGCTCCCCCCAGCCGCACCACGGGACCCCCTCCTGCATCTGCCACGAAGCTTCCCATTGCCATGCTCTGAGGCATGTGCAGAAAATGGAACAACAAAAGGGGAAAGGGAAAAATAGGAGGAGGGAGGATGACAAAGAAGGAGGAAGAGCTTGGCGGTTCAGGGGAAAGGGAAAAATAGGAGGAGGATGACAAAGTAGGAGGGGATAAGAATAAGTCAGCAAAGAAAAAAAGGAAAAAAAACAGTAACAGGTTGAAAATTTTCAGGACATTAAGTCATGTACTCGTTATTGCACTGCCCACTTACAGAGCCATCGGATTGTTTCATAAAGACTGTATCGGACGAGTAGACTGTATCATCCAGCACTCGACCACACCCCGTGCAGCAGCTGCATTGGGAACAGGTACAGACAGACCCAAGCACACAAGAAAGCACAAGAGCAACCAAGCACGTAGACATGCACACAGGCGGGCATGCACACAGGCGGGCATGCACACAGGCGGGCATGCACACAGGCGGGCATGCACACAGGCGGGCAGGACGGCGGTACATAGAATCTTAACAGACGTAAGGGTTGGACGAGAGGGTGGCATGACGCAGATGATACGACGCACGCCGTCGTCTACTCTTAACGAATCAGGCTACAGCGAGGCTTCGCCAACCACGACTGCGGAGGGCAGCCTAAGGCCCGGATGGCGATACTGCAAGCATGCGCCTGAGCCGTTGGCAGCAGTGAAAAGGCACCAATACTGCCGTTGCCGGCAATACTGCCATTGCCCGTGGACCACGAGTGGATCGCTAAGTTGAAATGCTCGCCAGTCCACAGTGCGCATGCGTCTAAGCCGTTGGTAACTATGACTTGCCACCAGTGAAAAGACGAGCGGACCTCTAGAGGATCGCTAACTTGAAACTATCGCCAGTCCTAGCGCGGGCGAGAAGCCATCATAGTCCTAGCCGATCGGGTGACGATGAGAAGGCTGACAACGAGTAAACGAACCATAACGGGTACGTATTAAGGGGTATGCAGTAACGTACGAGAAGCCATTGGCCTCGTCGACCTCCGCCTGCTGATCGCGGCCGCAGTAGCTGCACCACACCATGGCGCCCTACACCCCCAGAACGGAATAGTCGCAGGTAATGTGTGATATAAGCCGACAGCCAACAAGCTTGACGGCACGCACTATGGCGACGCAACGGGAATCCACTGGTTGACAAGAGCTGACAAGCTCCCAGCTGACAACACTGGCAACGAATCGTATGTTCTGCCCGTTGAAGTTGGGTGCTTCTGGAACATGGCAACTTCGAGGCTCGGACTAGAGGGGTTGTGGCTGCCTCTAACGCGCATAGCTGAATTCTTACAACCCCGCGGCAAGAAATTTCATGAAACCATATTTACTTACGGGTACAAATATCAACGTGCTTAGGGAAGGAGGAAACGTACTGATTACGGATGGTCCCATTACACGAGATAAAGTATCCTATCAGGAAAAAAAAAACCCAGCAAAACAATATTGTTTTTTTCACAATTCAAGAGCCAGCAACAAAAAAATGTATGGTACCATTATACGGGTGGCATGTTTGAAGCGCTGAAGTATGCCCAACAAATTTACATCCTCATTCATATTCGCGGATTACCGAATTGCTTCCATCTCAAGCAGAACTGTCCAATCAAGCAGCCATGTGCACGTGTGCCATGTGCATGTAATCTTCAACCCGAATTGGGAAGTCAATCCTCTGGGACCATCTGTGAAAACAAGAGAGACGGAACGATTGAAGGTCCCAGAACGAGCTCTAAAACATTCTTGAAGGAGCCATGCACGGAGAGAGGAGACAAGCTTGGAGAGGGGGGGGAGAGGGAACGAGAGAGAAAGGAGAAGCGGGGGGGAGAGGCCAATTGGGTAAGAGGAAGGAAATAGGAGGATCAGGTCGGTGACTTCAGTGCACCAACTGCACCTGGTGAATGGAACCATCCTCTTCATGCCCAAACGCCTCAACTCTCCCCCTCCTTGTCATGGTTGCCGGTTGTAGGCGTCTAAAGCATCGTCGCCACTCACCTGGTCGATGAAATCATCTTCTTCCAGCCCAAAAGCCTCAACTCTCCCTCTCTGCCGTGATTGCCGTTGCTGCCGTTGCTCCTGCTCCTGCTGCTGCTGCTGCCACTGGGACTGCCACTCCCTCTGCCTCTCCCTCTCCAGTTCCCTGGCCCATGCCCTCTCTATCTCACGCTCTCTCTCCCTTCCAGTCTCGCTTCCCCTCAGCTGATGGTAGCTACCTGATTCTGCACCCACAGCATAACCGCCCTGCACCTCACCCCGCTCTCTCCAATCCCTCTCAACAGCCTCCTGCTCTCCATCCACCACTTCCCCTTCAACCCCTGCCCCTCCTCCCCTCCTCCCTCCTCTTTCTCTCTCATACTCACTCTCTCCCCCTCCTCTCCTACCTGCCCTCCCCCCTCCACTCCCTGTCTCACACCCTCCCTCCGTCTTGGCCTTCTTTGCTGCACTCCTCCCCGCCTCGTACTCCCTCTCCATGGCCAGCTCCACCTCAATCAGCTCCTCCTTGAGGGTCTTGCGCCTCTTGGTGGTCACCCAGCCTGGGGGAAAAACAGAACAACAAGCAGCAAGGGACACGCTAAGTTATTCTTCTCCAGATTCAATTTCCTGCGCTGCGTTACTCCCCGCCTCCTACTCCCTCTCCATGGCCAGCTCCACCTCAAACCAGCTCCTCCTTGAGAGTCTTGCGCGTCGTGGTGGTCACCCAGCCTGGAAGAACAACACGCACACATGGGCACAGAAAGGTGACTTTCTCTTCATACATTTTACCGCACCCTTCCTTCCGCGCCTCGTACTCTCGTTCCATCGCCAGCTCCACTTCAATCAGCTCCTCCTTAAGGGTCTTGTGCCTCTTGGTGCTCACCCAGCCTGGCAGGAAAACAGAAAAAGAGGCAAGCAGCAGGGGACACACTGCGACATTCTTCTCCTGATCCAGTTTCCTGCGCTGGGCTCCTCCCCGCCTTGTACTCTCTCTCCATCGCCAGCTCGACTTCAAGCAGTTCCTGCCTGGTGGTGAGCCAGCCTGGTGTGAAAACAGAACAACAGGCAGGCAGCAAGGGACACAGACGAGGGCCTGTCAGCTCCAGTTGATTGGTGGCCACCCAGCCCGGGGGATCAGGCAGACAGGGCACAAGAAAGGATTCTCTTCCCTCGTCCGTTTTGCTGCACCCTTCCCTGCCTCGAACTCCCTCTCCGTCGCAATCTCCAATCCAATGAGCTCCTCTTGAAGGGTCTTGCGCCTCTTGGTGGTGACCCAGCCTGGGGGAAAACGGAACAACAGGCAGCGAGGGACATGCTGAAACCTTCTTCTTTGCCCTTCTTTGCCCTTCTTTGCCCTTCTTTGCCCTTCTTTGCCCTTCTTTGCCCTTCTTTGCCCTTCTTTGCCCTTCTTTGCCCTTCTTTGCCCTTCTTTGCCCTTCTTTGCCCTTCTTTGCCCTTCTTTGCCCTTCTTTGCCCTTCTTTGCCCTTCTTTGCCCTTCTTTGCCCTTCTTTGCCCTTCTTTGCCCTTCTTTGCCCTTCTTTGCCCTTCTTTGTTCTTCCTTGCCCTTCCTTGCCCTTCCTTGCCCTTCTTTGCCCTTCTTTGCCCTTCTTTGCCCTTCTTTGCCCTTCTTTGCCCTTCTTTGTCCTTCTTTGCCCTTCTTTCCTCAGTTTACTAGACCGAGGGAATACTCATTCAGGGCTGGTTTCAGTTTCAATCGATAGACTGTAGCGCCACTGTCCACTTATGGTTTTTGTGAAACGAAGGAGATAAACCCATGACTGATATCTGCTTGTAACGAGAACGAAGGGCCCTCACCTGGATGGTTGGGCAAAGGCACTTGGTCTGCAGCCACATCGTCTCCAGCATCACGGCTGGCCCCACTTGCCCCACCCTCGTTAATGTCACGCCTTCCTACATCACCCTCGTTTGTGTCCCCTCTGCTTCCACCTCTGTACCCATCACCACCATCATCACATTGAACATCCCTGGCGCGAGCAGTCGTAGCCATGGCAGAAGAAACACACGAAGCAGAAGGGCCACACGACACTGATGGCTCACGCTCGTGCCTCTGCTGCTCCATGTGAGTACCGGGCCTGTCCCTGCCGAGCCTGTCATCACCAAGCCTGCCCCTGCCGAGCCTGTCATCACCAAGCCTGCCCCTGCCGAGCCTGTCATCACCAAACTTGTCCATGCATTGAGTTGCCTCATTCCCTCCTGTATCACCCCCTTTACTGTCACACATGCCACGCTTGGCCATTCCTCCGTCTTCTTCATAGATACCCGTCCCCTCCCTTTCTTCAGTCCAGCCTGATCTTCGAATAGCACCACCTGAGCCAGTGTTGCGGACACCTGAACTACGACATGGGCTGCTGTTGCTCACACCTGAACCACCGCCTGGGCGTATGTTGCACGCGTTTGAATCACCACCAGGGGAGAGTTGACGCGGGGGAGAGGCGAGGGACGGGGGGTGGCATGGGTGGCGTCGCTGGGAGGGGGAAGGGGAGGGGAAGGAAGGGGAGCCGAAAGGGGAGCAGGAAGGGGAGCCGACAGGGGAGTCATGGGAGGGTCTGGGGTCAAAACGACGCTGTGAAGAAGACCCTTGAGGAAATGAGGGGCCTTGGAGATTTGGACGGTCCAGATGGAATGGGCTGAGGGATCGACGATGGTCAGTGAGGGTGCGCGGGATTGGATCGTCCGGGGGCGGATTCCTCCCCTGGTTGGATGCACGGTTTGTGGGGATCGGGCGCGCGGTATTAGGGTTCGTTTGAGTAGCTGAGATGGCGGAAAGGCAGGAAAGGTCGCACGGGGGAGCATGGATGTGAGAGGGAGTGCAGGTGTGAGAATTAGCGTGAATGGGAGATGGAGCGTGCGGCGGGGGAGCGGGAAGGTGAGTCTGGCGCAAACTGAGCGGCGGTCGCTGCTGCTGGCTGGGCGTTAGGGTGTCTCGACTGCGTGCCGAGAGGGTGGGAGATGGAGAGTGCGAGGGAGGCGGAACGTGAGTCTGGCGCAGGCCCAAGACAGGGACGGGAGCGTCACAGCGACTGCTTGAATTACGTTGACCGTCCACCGCTGGACTCCGTTGACCGCGTTGACTGCCCAACGCTAGACTGCGTTGACCGCGTTGACTCCCGCCTAGCGCCAGTCCAGATTCACACCCTAAAGAACTGATCGGAGCAGCCATTGGCAGTCCCTCCGCCATCATCGCCGCCATGAGCCACCTCTCGTTCAACCCGGCTGACGCAAGAGACGCTCCGTCTTCCACGCGGTCTGCCGCACCCACGTGATCGGAACGTTGACTTTGCGGAGCAGACCTAACTGGAGCAGCCACTGGCAATCCCTCCGCCATCATCGCCGCCATGAGCCACCTCTCATTTAATCCAGCCGATGCAAGGGAGGCTCCGCCGTCCACGCCTTCTGGTCCCCGCCGCTCTGTTCCACCTGACTGCACCGGGTTCAACCCAGGCTCGTACTGTTGACCCGCCCTCCCGCTGTTGCCTCCGCTCGTTGTGTTTCCTGCTCCCGTCGCCGCGAGCTCGAATCTCGAACTCTCCCCTGCAGCCGCACGATAGTGTGGTGCGTCCGCTCGAGAAACATGGGGTAATCTTGAAATATCTGCTCCTGTCGCGTAACCCGAAGGGTGGTTTGAAAAACTGGCGTCGCGACGACTGACGCACCTGTGCTCCTCACCCGCCATTAAATCGAAGGAAGTTACTTCTAAGCCAACTTTCTATGCGAACGCCCGCCCGCTGTTGGTTACAGGAAGAGATTCCGAGTGCGACTGGAGTCTAGACGAAATTGTAATGTTCGTGCCGTTGGTTGCTGAGGTATAGAATACGACCGTTGAAGCTGTGTCGAGAATCGCGACACTGCCAGCTGCCCTGAGACAACCTGAGACAGAAACTTGACGTGGGTGGGCTCGTGGAAGATATTTTGAGCCAATGTCACGGTAGGGATTCGAACACGGCGCAGATCGTACGGTCAGGCTTCAACCACGATGTTGATCGTGCACGGTGGCGGAACTGAAGCTTTCTTGGACCAACGTGGTTTGGCTGGCGACTTTTGTAAGTAATTAGTAATTCCTTACTGAGGCGAACTGCTAGTGTGTACACCGAACGTACACGACACCGGACTAGGCCCTAGTTACGTCACCGTACGTCCTTAACGAACCTTTTCGGTGACATTCTGAAGCGCTTCGCGTCCTCAGATGCTTTCTACGAGCCTGTGCATCGCGCGGTGAGAATTCGCTCTGGTGTTCCTATATCTAGCGTCGTCCTTCATTGTAGAAGAACTTCCTGATTCTGTCATTTCGAATCTCGATATTCAGTCCGTGCTACTCCGGATTTTCACCCATAACACCTGCTACACATGATCCTGCTTACACACATCCAGGCTAATCCGGATAAAGACACAATGATGTATATGCCCTGCTCTTATCACTAGGTGTAAGAGCACATTCACTGTGTAACATGAAACGCACCCCAAGGCACCACTCTTCAAGATATCCTTGAGATTCGGAACATCCAATGGGAGGCGTCGAAACGATCTGATTCGCGATTGTTTTTAGCCAAACGAAAACACTAAAAGTTTTGTGTCTTCACATTACGCCACGTAAAGAACGAATGTTCTAGTGCAGAAGGTTCAGGAGGTTGGCAGTAGGTTACTCTTAAGACACGTCATCTCAACGAAAGAGCTTAAAAACCGATGGGCGACAAGCTCATCAGTTTTGAAACAGGAGTTAGAAACTAAGCTAGGTAGGAAGAGGAAGCCATGGAATGGCGAGAGGTTTTAGAAAGGAGAAAAGATCGAGAGAAGAGAGAGGGATACAACGAGGGAGTTGTACCTATCAAACCAAACGAATTATTTAGAATAGGAGGATACAATGATATATAGTATAGGGCGTTGAACTCTCTATGGCCTGACCCTATATAGTTTACAGAACATACACATATGTTTGACACACCCCTTGGACTAGATAGGGGCAGTGCCTGGAGAGAGACAAGCATCTCAGGGTGGCACAACTAGTCCAACCTCTGAGGCAAGGGTCTAAAGACCAGTCAACAGAGTACAAACAAGTGCAAGACTAGGGCGGCACTACTATTCCAGCTACTGGGAAGAGGCCACAAGGCCCGTCAAGGTAATATATAAAGGGTTGTACACAATCAAGGTCCTAGCAAATGAGGTGCTACAGGAACCAGACCAAGCTGTACACAGTGCCGCATATGATGTTGTTAAGGCGTAAGCGCCTTCGTAAAGATATCAACTGTATTGGCACCAGAGGCCAAGTGTACCCGCGGGCCTGGCGATGCTGCTGTAGCTCGCGCAGAAGGAAGTACTGCAGCTCGATCTGCTTTGCTCTGCCCTCGAGTCTAGGTTCTTGATAAAGGAGAATCCTGGCCCTATTGTCAGCGTACAGGACTGGGGCAGAGCTAGGACGCTCACCTAAGTCTGTGAGCAAGAAGGTCAGCCAGCGGAGCTCCTGTGCCGCCATGGCACCGGCGTAGATCTCAGCCTCACAGCTAGACTGGGCAACAGACGACGAGCGGATGGATCGCTCACGAGACAGCACCTGCACCAAGGCTAAAGCAGTAGCCCTGGGAGGACCTGAGAGTCTCGGCGTCGTCTTCCCAAGAAGCGTATGTGTGCCCGGTAAGGACCACAGGTCTGCGTCCTCCTAGCACTAGCCCCATGCCCGATGTACTTGCTAGATAACGCAAAACCCTTTTAGCTGTCGACTAGTGCTGTGGTCGGTGTCTGCCCGTGGCCACAAAGTGGGCCATGATGCTGAGAGGGTATGAGAGATCTGGACGCGTGCAAGTCATCAAGTGCATGAGGCAACCCACCAGCTCTGCGTAAGAACCACTAGGCTCTACAGCCTCCTCCGAGACTGGAGCAAAGAGTCTGTGGTCTACTGGCAGCGGAATGGGCTGTGCGGAAGAGAACTGAAGGCCGAACCTCCGAAGGACCTGGCCCACCAAGTGTGACTGTGAGAGAGTAATGGTGCGCGCTGCTCTGTTCCTGGAGATCTACAGACCAAGGTAGCGGTGCAGCTCTTTTAGGTCAGTGCAGGTGTGTCTCCTCAGCACCTCGGCCTTCACGGAGGCCAGTGCGTCTCTATCTGCAGTAGCAAAAACCAAGTCGTCTATGTAGACAAGGATGTAAAACGGTGCCTGGCCGGAACGGATGAAGAGCGAGGGGTCTGCCGACGACGAGAAGAACTGCAGGTCAGCAAGTGCAGCACGCAGTGTGTCGTGCCACTCACAGGGCGCCTGGCGCAGGCCGTAGACGGGGCGCCAGAGGAGCCACTGGGTACCAGGGGGAAAGGTACCGGAGAAGCTCTGGGGGCGGCGCAGGTAGACCTGCTCGTGTAGACTGCCCTGGAGGAAAGCTGTGGAGAAGTCAAGTGAGTGCAGCTCATAGTCACACTGTGCTGCTACGTGTAGCATCACCCGAGGAGTAGTCATCTTTGGGGTCGGGGCAAAGGTCTAAACGAACTCCACCCCCCTTACGCTGACTGAAGCCTCGAGCAACGTAGCGTGCCTTGAAGATAGGCGGCTCTCCAGAAGGGCACTTCACCTTGAAGAGCCATCGACCATCGACTACGTTAACCCCAGGTGGGGGAATTGCATCGACGAAGGTACCAATGGATCTCCAAGATGCCATCTTCTGCTCCATGGCAGCAATCCACTGAGAGGCCCAGGGTCCTGAAGTCGCCTCAGCGTAGGTGCGAGGGGTCGGGATGTCGAAAGCGTCTGGGTCACCCTCTGGGACTAGTAGCATGGAACAAAGGTGGGGAGCAGCCTCTGACAGGAAAGCAAGTTTGTACTGTCTGTCCTCTAGGACGTCACTACCAAGGGCAGCCGCACCCCCAAGAGACGGAGGGCAGCCAGGGTCAGAGACCAGAGCTGTGGCGTAGTCGAGGCGGTGGGTAGCAGCGAAGTCACTGACAGCCGCGACAAGAGCCGACAGACTCGAAACACCGGCTGTGGCTGCGACAGCACCGGCGGCGACAAAGGAGGAGGGACCGGGGCAAGGACAGGTGGGGGAAGAGACTCCGCAGAACCGCGAGAGTCACCAGACTCCTCAGCAGGGACACCCCATGGGAGAGGGGTGACGTGAGACACACCAGATGGGGCAGGGTGGGAAGGGGGGGGGGGTCGGGGAGACCAGGGGAGGGGTAACCAGGAACAGGAGGGGGGGGTAACCGGGGGACCACGGTGGGGAAAGCGGTGGTAAAAGGAGACGGACTCGTCAAAGGTGACGTCGCGGGAGTGAAAGAACCGGTGAGATGGCGGGTGGTAGAAGTGCCAGTCAGACGAGTCGAGGGGGAAATCTAGGAAGACACAGGGGACAGTGCGGGCAGTGAGCTTGTCCGTGCCAGAGGCACGAACATGAGCAAGGCAGCCCCAGACGTGGAACGCAGACGCGTCACCAGGAGACCCGGTCCAGAGGAGGGTTGGCGAAACCTGCGGCCGCTGAGGGTGCGGCCACAGGTTAAGCTGGTGAGCGGCGTAGCGAACGGCGAACGACCACAGAAAATGGGGTGCACCGGCATGAATCATGGAGGTACAAGCCACCTCCATGACCAAACCGATGCGTTGCTCAGCGACCCCATTCTACTGGGGGTGTCCGGCAGGGTGTACGACTGGGTGATGCCCTCCGCGCAACAGAAAGGACCAAGGCAACCAGAGGCGAACTCGCCACCATAGTCGGAGTGAAGACGCAACACAAGGAGACCTCGGTGAACACGCACAGAGACAAGCCACGGGATAAGAACGTCAGGCACACCGGCCTTCCGCTCCAAGGGAAACACCGTGGTGTAGCGCGTGTAGTCGTCGACAAGCACTAGGAAGTAGCGTTCGCGACGCGACCTATGGACGGGGGCGGGGCCCAAGACGTCCATGTGAAGGGTCTGCATTGGTGCGGTGGTGGGGGGGAACGAAGAGGAGTGAGGGGCACGGCGGAGCCGGCCCTCGACACAAGGGGTGCACGGCGGCGCTGCCGAGGGGGAGAGCACAGGGAACGACGCAGGGACACCTAAGACAAGACCGTGCTGAGACATATGACGAAGACGTGTAAGGGCGGGGTGACCCAGGTGGTGGTGCCACAGGAGGGACGTGTGAGTAAGCGACCGGCACGAGCAAGCCGCAGCTACCTGGGTAGACTCTGTCACCTGGGGGTGCATCCCAACTGGGGGGGACGTGGTGTCCAGCGTGAACAGGCCAGACACCGGGTCCCGGGGGAACGTGGTGAGGGGAGCTCCAGTGGCGGCCTCGGTACAGATAGCGTACCGCTCGTGACCCGGGAACGTAGTGGTGACGCCGAGGTCCTGAAGGCAGCCGACACCAACTAGGTTCCTACAGAACGAGGGGATGTGAAGGCCTTTAAGAGAGCCTTAGGGAACTGCCGAACAGGGAAGGGTTGTGGAACTACGGGCGACTACCGGACCGGAGGAAGAATCTGCAAGGGCAAATGCGGCAGGGACGGCAAACGGGGTAAGCGTAGTGTGGTCTCGAAAGAAACACTGAGACGCGCCAGAGTAAAGAATGAAGGAGAGCGCAGTAGTGGCGGCTGGGGGCGAAGGAGCTAGGGTGGAGCCAAGGCTAAGCAAAGCAGGGGATCCTACGCGTGACGCAGCAGGGGAGCCGGAACTAGGCACACTAAGCACACCTACACTAGGCAACACGGGGTAATAGGAACCAGTCACACTGGAGTCATCGACATACTGCACATACAAGGCAGAGCTAATCTCATCCATGTCCATATCAAATATCCTAACACCACGGCGGAGCAGACTATGCCAGTCGGGGAGGTCCGGTGCTGGGCCGAAGCAGAGACGAAACATGTCGTCTAGGCGACT